TGGGCGGGTGCGATTTTTTTGTTTTTTCCTTTTTCCGGCTGTTTGGGCAAGGGCCACGCATTCGCCCAAACAGCAAAAAACAAAAACACAACCGACAACCACGAAAAACAAAAATGAACATGCAACAAAAAACAATTCTTACCAGGGGCAATGAAGGGAATGGGGCGGAAGCTTTGACAGTAATCATAGACCGGAATCGCAAAGCGGGTAGACGACATGAGGTAGTTGTTGATTTCCATGCAGCGAAGGTGCCGCAGCTGCTTCTCGATGCCTCGCCTGAGGTTGGTAGGGACTGCAAGAAAGTCATCGAGTTTGAGAGGATAGCAGTAATCATTTTTTCAGAAAGGAGGCACCTTTGCAGTTCTTAATCCTGCAATACAGGATTTTGCTCGAGCTTCTAATGCACAAGCCCGCAAGTAAGGGTGTTACGCAGCATGCCCCACCTTTATCCACTCATGGATTCAAGATCAGTGGTTTCAGGTCTGCACCGGAACTATTTCTTTTTGGGGCTGCGTGCTTTAAGGTTTGGGGGTGGAGGGAAGGTTAATGCATTTTTTGCGGTGCATGTCAGTTCAGCGTACAACTGGGGAGGTTCGTGAGTGACATGTAGAGTGTAGTTGTGGGAGGCCTGCAGGTGTGGCTTTGACATGAAGCGGGACAAGCACACTCAATAGGCTTCTGCCCTAGATCTTACCCGGTGAGCTCAAGTTTTGAGCTCCCTTGAGCCCACCTCCCTTTGATCCTCTGATCCTTAAAGCCCTAAAAAGCTCCATTTGCTTGCCGCCCTGTCTGGCCATCAAAGCTTAGGCCCATGCTCACAACACAGACCCCGAAGGACCCCATAAACCTGAACCCCCTGTGCTTCTTGTTCTGCTGCCACTACCGAGTACCACCCAACACGCTGCACAGAGCTGCCTCAGCAAAGCTAAGATCTTCTAGCCTTTCCTGACTATCTCATCGGAAAGTGAGCCAACAGCCCTGTACAAGCCCACAACCACGAGCAAAAAGCACAAAGCCCTCAGAGATCAGCAGGAAACTCAAACTGCCACACTTCACATCCTCACCTCTGAGCCCTGAGCCCTGAGCCTCATACCCACCTAAGCTCAGCTCCTGTACCCGCTTGAGACCCTCACATCTGGGAGAAACCTCTTGTCATGGGACAATGCAACCATGGTGCCTGTGGCGGGCCGCGGGGAGACATTTGTAGCCTGTGTGACTTGGACTTTCATCTGTGGGTTCAGGCACTGGGTGGGTTGCTTTCAGGCCTGGAGACGAGGATGCTGGGGGTTGGGACGTGTTGGGTTCTGACTTCATGGTGGTGCTTTGGGCTGGCTTTAGAGAAGCGGTGCAAAGAACGTTCCAGTCACATCTCATGCTTGTAAAGCATCACAGGACTATGCTCCTTTCCAGCTTTAGAGGCTTTGGGATGACTGTTGCTGGGGTTCAGTGGTTGAACAGATGTGCTCTCGAGGGACTTCAAGCTCAAGGCTGTAGCGTTGAGGGTTTCAGGGTTGTACGGTTCAGGGTTTTTGGGGGTCAGATGTTCCTCGGGTCAGGGCCGGAGTTCTATTGTATTCCCACCAAGAACGCAGGACCTGAAACATGCGATGGCGGTCTAGAAAAAGGCCTGAAGTTGGAGATCCTAGGTAGATGATACCCTGTAAGTGTTCAAACTGTCTGCAACATTTTGCAAACACTGACGCGCAGTTTTCTGATAATGTGATGCAAAACGACACCGGCTTCTACAAGGTAGGATGTGTACCAGGGAGGCCTTTGGCATATTTGGTGTATCAGAGGAGCGTGGAGTATTGCAACCGTTAATTGAGGAATCATGAGAGTCCTTGCGCAAACCTTTTGCTTCAATCGAACCCAGGTAGAAGATCTGGCCGCTTTTTCAACCATCTTCAGTCCTGTGCAGTCCTAACCTTGTGCAAGAGGATGTGACTGGACTATCCATGGCATTTTCCCATTTCCATGATTTCTTGCCCGGCCATGTCCAAGCAGCAGAGCTCACGGGCACACAAAGTAATTTCTTTTGAGGCAACTCCCGCTCAAAAGAGACGCGCTCACCGGAGTTGAATGTTCCGAGCATGTTGCCGTAGCAAATTTGGGGAAGATTTTGGGGTTCCTGGACTCGGAACCTACCCAACAGTGGCGCTGAATTCGAGATTTACTCACAGAAAGCATTTTTGGATCCAGCCAGCTAATCTGCCAAAACTGTGCAATAATTTCATGAGTTGCTGCTGAACCGGAGACCCCTTCTTCGAGGTCCCGGCAAATACCCTACCAGTTGATGACAAGCAAACTCAGGGACTTCACTTCTGACAGATTCTCCGCAACGCCAGGGAGGATGCAACTCGTTCAAGCCAAAACCTAACTACGCTGACCAAAACAACCCTGTCGGACCCTGAAAGTGACATCCTGAACCTTGAATTTTAAACCTCGAACCCCGGTCCTTGCACTTCCAGGTGAGAATGATGCGGAGGCCTTCAATAAGCCCACTGCTCTCACCGGGGCGGCTCAGTAAGCATGGGGGACCAATTCGTTGGGTTTCGGGGTTTGCTGGCTTGGGATTGAAGGCTGTGAGGCTACGTAGCTTATGGACCCGATCAGAGGCAGATGAAGTACCGGTTCTTTATAGTCTGCAGAAAAGTGCAGCGGGCCTAGGTGAGATTTTGCAGGTCTACAGTCTTGAAATCCTTCAAGATAAGACTGATAACACCTACTTATAGCCGAAGAATGCTCCAGCCCGAGATCCTCAAGCACCAGAAAGGACATAGAGAATTATGCCACGCCGACATCTTCCAGGACAGGGCCAGAAGCAAGACAACTGGAAACCAACATCCTTGCTTGGTAGTGCTCCACGCATTCTCGCATCTAATGGACCCCTCCTGCCCTTTCCTGCCATCACCTTGCCTCCTCTCCATTAGCTTTACCACGCCTCGCTCAAACGATCTCAAGCAGCAACTATTTTCACAGTCATGGAGTTGTGATGCTCACAGGAAGGCAGGTTATGTTGATCAGGGAGGTGATTGCCCTGGTAAAGGGGTCACCTGCAGCTGAGGCAGCATTCGTGGATCCCACGCTCGAGGACACTGCTGGAACAAAGGGCTTGCAGGCATGGTAGGAGACCTTGGAGAAAAGATTCTTCTCGTGGGTGTATTCTAAGGTGCTTGTCTGGATTTTTTAGAAAGTGTCTGTTGCAGAGACGCGAATCCAGCCATCTGCATCATGAAACGCTCCTAGGTCCCGATAGAACTCTCCAACAATCTTTGAGACTTTCATATTCCCCCTAGAGCTCCTGAAAATTGACCATTACAAGTACTCCTTCCCTCCGAACAGCACGAAAAAACAATTGCAAGGAGAAGAGCTTGCTGAGACTGGCTGTGGTTCGCCACGGCGAACGGGCGGACCAGGCTGCCCCAAAGACCTGGCTCCTTGTGCACAGATGTGTCAGATTAAGGACTCTGTGTAAGATTTAAGGCTTTCGGTGTGGGGTTTGAGAGCTTCGGCTGGGGTTAACGTTGGGTTCATGTATTCAGGGCCCGATAGGATCAGGCTGCAAATCGCTCTCAGCTCTGCTGTGGAGCTCGACGGGTATGCATTGGTTACAGGTGGGTTGGAGGGGTTCAAGTTTCCGGTTTAGATTGCCACAGCCTAAAGGAATAATTTGTGTCTCAGATGGTAGTCTTCTCCGGCTTCAAAAGCCATAACATGTCTAGCTTCTAATTGGCAGGATCTCCAGATGTTCAGGTAAGGCGTAGAGGAGTAAATCTGGTTGTGGTAGCTGGATGACAAGTTGTCTGGGAAGTTCAAACATTCTTCAGATTCTTGCAGCAGTTGTAGGTGCAGAGTTTCTGGGGCTCAGAGCGTGGGAACACATATTGTGGAGATTCAGGCGGATGTGAGACTTCAAGGATTCCAGTTCCGGACCAGCGATGTTCGCGGCCACGCGACGGATAGACACAGGCGACAAGGCAATGTGTTACTCATACGAAGCGCAATGACTCACAGAGCATACGGTCAGGATTGGATTGCCGTTTCGATGGCATGGCTCTGATACCCTGGCTGTCAACTTGTGCAGCGTGAGCCGTCTTGATGTTGAATGCTGGACTTTCAGAGCTCGAAGCTCAGAGCCAGAGAGCTTTGCAAAACTTGTGTCCCCAAAGCTGCCAGACCTGACCTCCTGAAGCGCGCAAGCGCCTGAACACCTGAAGTTTAAGTCCATACCATGGACGGGAACGCTCAACAAACCGAGACTCCCTATGCCTTTGCTCGAAACGGGCGCCAAGGAAAGAATTACATTTTTGAGGAACGCCTTTCCCAAATCAGTTCAAGAAGGATTCCATCTGAGGTTCAAGTCCATGCTGGGCAAGCGGTATCCCTTCGATCCGCCTCTGACGATGACGGGCAGCAAGCAGGCGAAGACAGTGGCGAAGGCGGCATGCCAATAAGGTGCATGAGTCAATACAGCTTGCTGAAATGGTTCTCTCATTGTGTATATTACCAGCTAGTATGACTGGTCAGTGACGGTTTGTTGAACCATCTATTGTGACAGTTGTGCCTTTACTCTCAATATGATTTGGTCTGTCGTTGTGATGGTGTGTTCTGGGGAATTTCCGGTGTTATGTTTTAGTATTACCGTATAACAACAAGTAGGAGGTCCATGCAACGTGTAAGTCTGGGTCTGAGTTTTCAGTTTGCGTGATTCATATGACTGTTTTGTTTTGGCCAGGAGTTTCACCACCTTGGCTGCAACCGTATTATGATCTCGCCAACTTTACTACCAAGCGTGCTTCTGAAGGTCCTTAGGGCTTTTGCGTGGACGGTTGCTAAGCGTCATGAAATCTGTTTCCAGGGCCGCTACAAATTTGGTCAAGCCGAGTTTCAGAAAAAGTTTGGGTCACACCTCCTGCCCGCTATCGCTTTCACCGTTACTACTCCTGAGCACCGAATCGAAATGCCAGTCTGGACCCATTTCTGGTTGGAGATTGCCTATCACTTTCAACCTACAGGATCCCAACCCATGGAATCCTGTATAGCCTCAAGGCCTGGAGCTACGTTCATAAAATGTCGAGATCCCACCCGTGGCAACAGCTCGGCAGTCTCAGGAGCTCTTGTCAAAGTACAATGGCGAGTTCTCCATGGTCATCTGTTCGCCTTTCATCAGGCATGGTGCGGACTTATCCAAGCAGCAGATTATGTTGTTGTACCCCCAGGAGGAGGAGGTGGTGGTGATGTTAATGGTTTTGTGATCGTGGTAGCATCAGCATCAGCAGCAGCAGCCCAAAAGCAGCAGCAGTTGCTTTGTCCTGCCAGTACTGCCTGACACTGAGGAAGGCGCAATTATCTTTCGCAAGTATCTTTCTCGCCCCATTTACGTAGCACTATGGAGGTTGCATGCAAATCAGTTGAAATTGGAAGGAAGTAGGAAGCATACTTTTGAGAAGCTTCCATGCAACTGTGGTGGTTTGAAGAGGTGCGTGGAGACTGCAGTGGAGATCTGCCGGGTCTTCAACGTCAGCCTCTGCGTGGACCGTGAGCTTGGTCCCGGGTCGGAAGACGTTATGGCTATCCCTACTATAATCAGAGTCCACGCTGTTGGAAACACATTGGCACACCGTGTGCTTTCTACCTTTCTTCATTCCGTCATCTTCAGGAGAACAGCCGCAACAAAGATGGCAACAGCACCTTCAACTTTGACGTCTTGCCTTCGTTGATTGGAATTCAGTATTGGACCGGTATCAGCTTTGCTATTATGTGCTGGTCATTACGACTATTGCAAACATTGCTGCTGCTGCTCCTGCTGGGGCTGCGGCTATGGCCTTTGCACCTGATGCTCTCGCTCGTTATAGCCTTCGGTAAGTAGCTGTTCACTGAAGACCGCAGCCTGGATGAAGTGGGAGTGCAGTGTGAGCAGGATTCGGACAGTATGTACAGTAACCACTGCTGTTTCCTCACTCGTTAAAACAAGAAGTGTAATATGCAAGGGACCCAAAACCCTCAACCATGACGCGAATGGCTTGCTGGCTAGCCCCTTTTTGGAGCCACCAAGGTGAAATCTTTTCGCCAACATACTTTGGCGCTTGGGCAGCCTGGATGCAGATTGTACAGGGATTTCCAAGCTGAGGGTTGGGAGTCGGGGAGTGGCCAGCAGAGTTCATGCTCCGCCCCTGTCAACTTCTTGAACCCCGGCCCAAAAAAGACAAAACAAGAGAGGTTTTACATGTTGCTGTTTTCATCGGCTTTATGTTGGTGATATTAACCGCAGCAGGCTCAGAGGCATTTGTTACTTAGCAGCTACTGGCATCCTGGCTTGAGAAAGAAATCCAATGCAGGGAGCATGCCAGGTTGTCTCAGAACCTTTCACAGAGACTTCCGACTAAATCTGCAGCCAAGACAGTGCATTTGAAACCTTTGATCCTTGCGAGACAAATGCGGTTCCAGGGCTTCCTCGCGCAGCGTAACATGATAATGAGGTTCCTCTAAACATGGCAAGTTTTCGAAAGCTTCCGACTTCCTGCATGAGGCATACTAGGGAAATGCCACATGAAATGCCTGGGCCAGGCAGGGAGAAGTCCTGGTAGGGATCCAAGATAGGTGAGTGGATGTGTGATACTAGCGGGGACAAGGGGTGTGAATGGTGAGAAGCCCGCAAGAGCCCGTTACAGTATTCCCCCAGAGTTTGGGTCCAGGTTTTTCTTGGAAGTTTACGTTTCAATCTAGAATGACTTGGCCAAGTGAACTTAAGCACTTCCACCCCGCTCCCCTCAGCGGCGCTGGACAAATGGACCTAAACACTCCCACCGCATCATCCCCTGAATCCTTAACCCTAAACCCCCAAAGCCCTCAAATCCCCCAAAGCCCTAAACCGCATTAGAGATCCTAGGATTTCCCGGGACCGCCGCTCCGCAGCGTAGAGGAGATTGCAGCCTACATCCCCAGTGACATAAGGCCTTACCTTAGGTCATGCCGCCCACCCATTACTGGTGGAAAAAAGTCCTAATATGACGTGAGGCGGGATCACCGGAGTTATGTCTTGACAGCTGAGTAGGAAACGTGCAAGTTATAAACTCTAGCCCCTTCCAGTTACGTTTGTGTGCAGTGGTTTCATGAGGATGCGGGTAATCATGCAGGGCTTTGGTGCCAGCATTCCTCTAGACCCCGATGGCTTCCCAAGGTGGACTGAAGGGAAGTTTCCGGGGATGTAGCAACCCTCTCTGCTAGCTGTTTTGTTGGTACTTGTAAGTTCTAGCTGATTCTTCTTTTGCTGATTCGGACAAGACTTGGCAAGTTGTCACTAGCATGTCTGGCGCATGTAGTGCTGTTGCCATCACAATGTGAATTAGAAAGACTATGATGATTATGAGGCTAGAGGCAACCTAAAGGATCCAGTCAGAACAGCCATGATTGTTATCCAGGCTTGTTTCGGAGAAGTTCCAGCTTTAGGTATCTTGTGTTTCGGAGTTCGTGGTATGGGCGTGAGGAAGAGGATGCGTGTTTGGGGACTCAAGATTGGTTTCTGCGTCGGAATTTTCGGAGTGGGGATTTGGGATGTAGGGTTTGACAATTCATGAGAGGCTGGAGTCAGGTCCACGAGAGAGCATGGCTTTGGCAGTGAACGCCAAGAGAATGCAACCGGGTCCTTTGCATATGCAATGCATCTTTTTAGTCAAGCGTACTCAAGCACTCGAACCATTCACAGAATTCGCGACCTGCTTCAGGGTAGCTGGCGTGGGTGACGATGGCAGGCTAACTTTGGATGGGTTTGTTGGCCCCTTGCCTTGGTTTCATGAGGGTAGCCAGGGATTTCAGAGGGTAGTTTTCAAAGGCATATGTTAATTCCGTAGGGGTTAATGTGAGGACATGCAGGTCTGGGTAGTAGGGTGGTTCTGCTAGTGCACGTGTTTTTTGAGCGCTGTAGGTGCTTTCAGCGCTTTTGCGGCTCGGCATTAATTGGGCACGTGCCCCTGATAAGGTCTGAAATCCAGTGTTCAAGGGCGAACGCTGCCTGATCATAATTCGTCCTCCTACTTGTGATGCCAAAAATCAGTGTCTATTCAGAGTATTCACGGAATCCTTATCCGCAACTCTGAGGCCTAAACTCCCACATCCCAGCTTTGGCTCAGCCGTTTTAGGTTCAGGGCTTTCCGTGATGGCGATCCAGAGCCATGACCTCCTATTACATTGCAGAACCATCCGAATGGTGGGTAGTAATCCTTGCAATGGCGGCAATGTTACGAACCGGAGCATCTTTAGTATGAATATGCTGTGCATCTGAAATCCGCGCCAAAGCTAAGCCTTGATATCGAAACTCAATATCTACGCAAGCTGAATCGGAACATCCTTCAATCGCAAAATGCAAAGCCTGAAGCAATGAAACACTCCCAAGGCTTGGAACAGTGAACCTAAATCCCGAGACATGAATTCCTAGGTAGTCCCCCTGTGTGGCCGGAAAAGAACGGAAAGGCAGTCCCAGGGAGTGTACTTGCGGGCTTGTAGCAGCATTGGGGTTTGTGTGGGGATGCTTGACGTGTAGGCTTGCGGGGTTCATAGGGCTGGTGGTATTGGATTTTCGGTGTGGCGGGGTTTGCGGGCTGGGGGATCGCTTAGCTTACGAGGGGTGCTGAGGATCATGCAGGCGGTAACGTTTCTTTTGGGTAGTCAGGATTGGGCCCGTGGGTGTTTTCATGTTCAGGGTATCTGCATTGAGGTCTATGGTTTTTCCTGCCTCTACTAGAATCTAGAATCTAGAGGGTTGCGTAAGTTTGTCAATGTAACAAGACGGGTACTGAGTGCTGGAGGAGGCACAGCACATCGTTTATGTTCCTCATTCACCCACATGTTACAACATGGTTAAGGCTTGTAGCACCCAGTTCATCATGACACTTTCCCCAGAAGCCTCAAAAGGTGGGGTAAAGGAAGGTGGGGGACTAGCTAGCCGTGCTTGAGTTTGAGCCCACCAGTTTTTCGCTACATTGCCCTCGACGTAGTCGTGGACTGCAGCTAGGGTTTCAGCCTATATTTTGATCAGGGTTGCCCCCGAGGCCTCAGGCACAGGGTCGCCATTTTTCTCTCGTGCTTCCTATCTTTGCACGAGGAGTGCGAGGGGTGGCTTCGTTTGTTTTGCAGTTCCCTGCTTCTGCGGTTCACCATCACAAGGAGGTCCGCCCATTGCCTGCAGCACCTGTACTTGCTGCCCACCTACCTTCATCCCACCTTTCGAGCCCCCTAATTTGAGGTTAGGCATCACGGCTTCAGAAAAGAAAGCGCAAACCAGAGCAGCTTGTTCTGCTACGCTCAGCCCTAACCCTGATTGCTACGGTAAGTCATACAATGAATTTCTTCATTGGGACGTGAAGATGCTGGACCACAAATGGCTCGAACCTGCTTACATGGTCATGCTCATGAGCGCTGCTATGCCGTGCTGAAACACGTGGAGACAGGTGTATAGTTGGGCACGTCCGCCTTTGGTCATCATTGCAGAACTGGTGTTTCGACCTTGCCCCTAAGCCTTGCCATGGGTGGTTAGCCAGTGATTTGTGTCTGCGAGGTTCGCCTGGCAAGCCGCGTGGAGGCTCTGAGTGAGAAGGCGAAAGAGCACCAACCTGTATGTTCCGCATTTTTACGCTGGCGTGGTCTGTGGAGCCGGGGATGTCAAGCGTAGACGGTTGAGGATGCAATTGAGGCGCGCAATGCAGGTCACGTCACTTGAACCATCTGCTTTGGTCTGAACACTTTGTGCGAAGCTTTGTGTAGTGTTGCTGGTGAGCGCCTTGCTGTTCGATACAGCTGTTAGAGAACTTTTCAAAGAAGCGCGCATCCATTTCATGAAAGGTTTGTTTGGTAACCCTTAGACCACCGTTTTTGTCTTTGAATTAGAGGCCGTCAAGCTCGGTGGTGCTGGCTTCATCCTGGTTACCCATGGCGACTGCGTAGCAGGCGTGCGGCTTGGGGCTTAGGGGATTTCGGAGTCCAGTGGGTCTGGCGCACACAGCCGATTCGTACATGAAGTCTTACGGCTGAAATCAACTTGCATCTATGCACCCTGAACCCTCAACCGTGAACCCTAAACCCTCAACCCTAAACCCCAAACCCTAAACTCTGGAAACCCTCAACCCTAGAACCCTTCGAAGGCTGCCTGGCCCTTGGCCTGGTCAGCCAAAGAAAGGAGTCCATGGCTCCCACGGTGACGAAGGCTCAGCCTACGTAGTTGGTTTGCTCAGATTTGGGTGGGGGAGGGTTTAGGGTTTAGGGCGAAGAGTTGGGATTCCAGGCAGATTTGGCAGGATTGCTGGGACGCTTAGGTCTTTCATATGGGCTTCTTTCAAGGTTCGGCAGGGATATTCTGGTATTTTGCAAGGTCTGAACGGTGAATGTATTTGGCCGCTGTTGTTCCGTGTTCAATGAAGCTTCTGACAATAGGTTTTTGGTATTTCTGCAGTTTAGGGGCCTCTTTGTGCGAAACTTCACGGAGGTTGAAAGTTCTCGTCTTGAAGGTAGGTTTCACGCTGACGGCTTGGATTGTGTGAGTTGGGGTCATGTGAGTGGAAATCAGGCCCAAGGCGGTGGATATAGAGATAGTGACTGTGCTTACGGGTTTTGGAAATTCAGACATAAGATGTCAATATCATTTTCCCAAATTCCCAACATCCCCTCAATCGCTGGACTTCAGACGCGGCTTTCTTGGAATTGTAGACGCTAACATGAGCAGGTTGCCTACGGTTGTAAGGGCTTGGGTGTGTGGGTACATTGAAGACTGAACGGTTTTTCTGGTAGTTCAACCTTAAAGAAGAAGACCTCACAGCCAGGAGCCCGACCAACTTCTTTTCCCTAGGGTAGATGAATCGCGGATATCGCATATTAGGTGATGTGTTTCGAATTTGGAGAATGCTCTTCCTCGAAGGTGCCGTACTGCGGTTACGTGGTCCTCGAACGCTGCTTGGCTTCCAATCAGCAGTCTTGGTTACTACGTGTTTTGAAGGGTCTTATCGGCTCAGAGTTGTAGGTGCTTTCAAGGCTTTTGGAGTTTTCTTGTGTCGCCCTTTGGAAGTCCGGCATTGCCACAGCTTCTAAACATGCCTCGCAGCTTCGCTCCAGTTCATAAGAAATGAGAACTTGAGACCCAACCAGCTTTCGGTCCTGGACTTTACATCCCAGGTAGTTCCTAGACAAAGCACAAGGACGCAACACAGAATCCTGAGTTCAGGCCCCTTCTCTGCGCATGAGGAGCCCGTGGGACTCTTTGATCCCGATGCGGGCTGGACGGTGTTCAATGGCCACAATGAGGTGGGGGGGGAGGTAGGTTTGCCAAGGTCTCTTCCTTTCTGAGACTTTTGGCCTGCTGGCCTCGATGAGCCTGGAGAGGAGATTGTGGGAAGTAGCATCAAGGCATAGGTTCGCAGATGAAGTGGACTGTTTGGGCATGAGCTGGAGAATGAACCTGTAGATTCAGAGACATGCGCACCATGTTGCTGAGAACACAACCTCTACGGCTTGAATAGCAGCAACTCAAAACTGCAAGAGTACGCTCATTTTCGGAAAGGGTACGCTTTTCTGTAGCCGCCTTTTCGACTGGCACCCTGGATCTTGCGTGCTGCATAAACCTGTCCAAGTCGTGAGTTCCCGAAATATTGATGCCAGCCAGGAGGCGAGTACTTTCTAGGTATTCATGGTTCATAGGATGCCCTAGGATTTCCCAGCACCTGTGCACGTGTACAAGCCCTCAGCCCCAGGCTACTTTTTTGCCTTATCACTAGGTCAGAGCTATGGTCACTAAGTCCCTAGTCCTGCATGGAGGTCACGGACCCATCAGGGCCGGAGCTGTCCGTTTGGAACCCCATGCACGACAAGAAGGCGCACACGTGCTTCATGTGTCTCATTGTTGCTACTGGTAGGGTTCCTGGATGTGTGGTGCAGAGTCCGGTCTAATACTTTTCATAGTAGCAGTAGCAGCTATGGTATTTCAATATATTATGCCTCGCTTTTCATTTCCAGTATTCAGCGCATCATGCATTACAAGAACTTGCCTGCGAGATGGCAGGAGCAGTTTGGGGTGTAACGTTTGAAGATTCAGAACCTGAAATTTTGGGTGCAGCGCTTTGTGTTTTTTGGAGAGTCAAGTATGTCGTTTAATTCTCGAAGAACGTTTATGGATTAGGGTTTTGGGCAAAGTTTCAAGCTGTTGAGATTTGGTCTGGGTAAGACGTTCCGGGCTTTCGGGTTCTGTGGCGCGTTCTATGTCAAGCAAGTGGGGACAGCTTGCCATGTCCTCGGAAGTGATCTTCAGAGTGATGCCTGCTTCTACTTGGCCTGAAGCCCAAAACCTCATAATTACACTGAGCCCCCAAGACCCCACGACCAACTTTCAGATCCAAGTTGGCCCAGCTATGAATGCGGAAGGAGAACCTGCCTGAAAGACCCAAACCTCAAACTGCCCTGCCGCAAAGCCCCGATTTCCAAACCTTACACCCTAAACCACGCAAGCCGGACCTAAACTTCGTTCCAAGTTGAATCTAGGTGGAGCAGCTCCACAACTTCGGCACACAGCTGGCGAAGATGCGGAAGGAGTCGGCTTGAGGTTTTAGGGGAAGGTTAAGTGTTTCTGGAGTCTTCCTTATCGAGGACGCACCAAAGTGAGCAGTTACCAGGTGGGTACCCTCAGGCACGCGTAAGGGTAAATGGGATTTATATGAGGTCTATATGCTGCGCTCCGCGTTCTCAGTCACCTCCCAATTTTATGGTCCCCGTTGGGGGAATATATATTTCTCTCCCGCAAGAATTATGAACTCTTCGTAAAATCTTTCTGAACCCTTTTTCAAGCCCTCAATAAATCCTTACCACAGGATCCAGGCCACAGTAACACAGGGGGGGTGCCCTTATAGGCACACAATCAAATTCGATGAAACTCTTGTAAACCTGTTACGAACCCACCAGAAAACTCTCGAACTGTGTATAACCCGTCTATAAAAGCTATGAACTCCGGATAAACCTTGTTTAAACGTCTACAAAACCCTTATAGCCCCCCTATTTCTATAGGTAAGACTATCAAACTTTCATAAACCGTCTAGAAATCCCTCAGACAGCCTGTTGAACCCTTCAGAATTTAATGAGCCCTCGACAAAGCCTTCTTTAAACCTTATAGAGCCCTTGTATGAGTATTATTATAAGGATTTATACGCCTAATCTGGTCTGCTGGATCTTTAATATCTATCAACACCCATAAGCCCTACATAATCACAATTTCCATTTCGTTTTCTTTTTCTTTTCCATTTGATTCTTGCTTGGGCCCTATATCCCCAGAATGACACTGTATCATTATGACTGGAGTTTTCAATTTAAACTGCCGCTGTACCAGGCTGCTGTGAGAAATCGCCTAACTAGGGGTCCCTTTAACTGGTTACAGGGGGCTTATATGAGGTTGTACATGAATACACAAGGTTAAATGGGGCTTATGAGGTTTCCAAAAAATCAGGGGTTGTTGTTGGGCCCCCCCGTAATGAGGAGTGACGTTTTTTTTTGGGTGGTATGTACTGGGGACCCTCATTTCGGGGAAAGTCTGTGTTATTTGAATTCAATCATAGCTTATCAGCAATCTGTTGTGTTGGTGCTAGGTCTTTTTGAGAAACTTAGTGGTCAGTTGCTGAGTTCTGGATACATGATTGGGTTGGGATTTCTGGTGGCGTCTGACCCTAGGGAAATCGGAGGGGTCGCTGTCCTGATTGTCTCAGATTCATGGGAGCCCACGCCGGCAGCAATGTAGGGTAAAATTCTGCGTTATGGCAAGCATGAGGGTTGAGGGCGCCGTGGTTTTCATTGAGTTGTAGTAGTAGGCTGGCGCCCTTTTCACGTTGTAGAGTTGTCAAGAGCTAGCGTCTAGACCATCCGCTTGAGGGTTCAAGTCAATCATGGCCGGGTTCTGTGCTAACCTTATGCATATATGAGCAGTGTCTCTTACATGGACATGAATTTCATGTGGAATCGCAGAGGGGTTGCGGTGAGTCTGAGGTTGTGCACAGGTCACGTTCACATTTTCCGCTCATTAGCCAAGATGATGAGGAGCTTGTAGAAAATGTTGCATGATTGCATGGCTTCGCGAGAGGAGCTTAAACACATCATATCAACACAAATCAAGTAATCAGCTAGCAACAAAATTCTATTCCTGCGACTCATACCAAATACAGAGCTGGTGCCCTGGAAAGCTACCAACAACGGAGGAAGCAGGAAGTAGGAAAGGAAGGAAGCAGGCAAGCAATTAAGGAAGGAAGAAAGGAAAGAAGGTGGACAAGTCTGCTTGGGCCTCTCCCCGCCCCACCTATTTGACCGTTATTATGTAGTGCAAGCGCACCGGTCAAAACTGTGCAAAGAGCTGCGTGTTTTCATCTTCGTCAAAGGCGAACAAATTTTGTCTAGGGTGTGCAAGAAAGTTCATGGTCTGATCTTAGTCCATGCTTTGGAGATCGGGGGGGTGCGCCCCCCAAAGCCCGGCCATTTTGTAATGCAGTCTAGAAAATCCTATCAAAGGTGTGCAAGAAACTATAACTTCTGCACCTTAATGCAGGCGGACTGCTAACAGATCCTGTGACGGGCGGGAAGTTGCTAGCTATTCTGATCTTCATCCATTTTTTGCAGATGCGGGGGGCCGCGCCCGCTACTTTGTAGTGCAGGCGCCCAGCTATATTTTCAGATCTTCATCTATTTGTGTCTCAGATGTGTTACCCCGCTTGCTACATTTCCTGATTTTCGTCCCTACGAAGAAGAAATCCAAACAGAGGTGTGCAAGAAGGTATACGTTCTGACGGCCTCGCGCTGGTCCTCTGGTTCTCTGGTATTTTTTGATAGGGATGTTTCATGGGTGGCTGAAAATGGGGGGTCCAGGCGGCCAATTTATTTCCATTTCTGATCCTTTCCCATGGGGTTGTTGGCACGTGCCCTGGCGTTTATCCAAGAGAGCTTGGTGTTCTGATTGCCGATGTCAAGAAACGTAGTGTTCGTAGAGGAGTCAGGCCCTTGGATTTGATCCGGATGGTTGTGCGCCGCTGGCAGAAATTGTTTTGTTATTTCCATCATTGCTATTCCAAGTACTGTTTTTAAGACTGTTGTATTCTCTTAGTATGGCCATTATGAATAACACGATTAGTACGACTACTGCTACTATTACTGTTTTGCTTATGCTATCTATGCTTACAACTATGACTATTGTTATTAGTATTATTGCTCGTGTTGTTGTGCTTTTTTTTCATCACCAATACTATTACTACCGCTATCGTTGCGATTATTATACATATTACAGTCAATCGTATTTTTCTTGTTCTTGAGAATGTCTCTTGCGAGAATTAGCCTGGTTATTATAAGCCAAGGGAAACCAAGCTCTCGCATGGAGCGTCCGTGCTCAGGCATGCAGCATCCTCACACTGATCAAGCTCTGGCGTGGAGAGTCTTCACATTTTTGCTAAAACGGAGCTTCCGCGCGGCTTCTATGACATGTACACATCGTCTTGAGTAGTGATCGCTTATGATGAGGAACTTTGCCAGCGAATAAAGGTTCTCGGTCCAATGCAACCTTCTGTGGCAATGGTTTTCCTTTTCGCCATCATGCTTTATAAGCTTCGGTGGAGGCTTCTTGGCCCTAGACTTCTACTACTGGCTGCAATTTAGGGACTGTTGGAAGCGTTTAGTGCCCAAACAATCCCACTACCAAGACAGAGCTTACATACACCTTGCATAAAGTCTGTACAGCGCTATAGTGGGCATAGTGCGGGACAGCATGGGAAGAAGATTCTTTTGATTAATCTGAGGCTAGGCAAGATGGTGCTAGGGTTCAAGAGCTTTAGGAACTTAAGGTGCGCGCAAACCTCGCATCGCAAATTTTAGGACTCTGAGCCGTAAGCCGCGCTACTTTCAAACTTCCATGTCACTCCAAGCCTCATAATGATCGAGGGTCTTTGGTTCTTAATCTGGACGGAGTAAACCGTTTTGGCCTGGCTGGGGATCCTTGCAACCCAGAACAATATCCCGAGACCCACAATCAAGATGTAGTGATGCTATGGGGGTGACGATTTATGCGTTGAAAGTGCAAGTTTGAGGATCAGTGAACATACCCGCAATTCAAGAGTCAGGTTCGCAGCTGGAGAAATGTACAGTTGACATTCACTTGAAACTGAGCAGATAGGCAAAGCTTAGCTTGTAGGAACATGCTGGACAGTTTTCAGGTTTGGCTTTCGTAGAGTGTCGCATGCACACGTCCCCAAAGGGCTAAATCCTTTGGTCCGAAGGCACCAAAAACGAACCTTTTGTGGCAAGGTTTGTTTAGGCCTGATGCTTGTGACATT